CAAAAAACGAGTAGCCTCAGAACGTTGAAATTTTGTATATAGGACTGCTATAACATGTAGATGTGCACCTCGTATTTTGGTTGCAATTGGCCGCACCAAACATATATAAATATATTTATATATATATATCCACTCTGTTACCCGGCTCAGTGATCTCAGTTTCTTTACTCTTATATGTTTGTAAATTGTACACTTTTTGCTTTAAAAATGGTTGAAGTATGTTGTTTTTATCTTCCGGTTAAGCATTTTATGCCATTAGTAAATCTGTGTGCAATACTTTTAGAATTATCAGCAATTTTAAAGTTGTTTAATTGCCGCTAAGCCTGCTTTTAATGGCGGCCATTGATGTTTACATTTGAAACAGGAGACTAGTGGATTTGTTGCCAATCTAGAGAAAACTTAGCTTCGCAACAACAAAGATAACGCATTCATTTATTATTGTCAATTAAATCATGCTTAATTCTTTCTGGAATTTTTCGAGGAAATAAGTGTTTGAGATTTACTTCGTAATTTTTAATATAGATATTTTGAGTTTTTATGTATTTTTGCCTTCTCGCGAAGTGAGAACTGAATTAATTAAATGAGAAATACTCAATCATCTGTGAAAAACTGTTTCTTTTTTGTTTAGTTTGCTTAATTTCTTTTCTACATCATTCTAGCTTTATTATAGTATTTGAATAGAACATGTGGCAAGGATTAGATAATTCTATTCTTTAAATGATATAAATTTTGTGCATTATGAGTTATAATATGAACGAAATATAATACTGTTAAGTGAATCTAGCGCCAGAGTGTCGCTATAGTAAACAAATACTAGAGTGAATTTTAAAGAATGCATTTATTCTATTTTGGTTTATGCGCTGTCAGCGAAGTAGATTTAATTCAATCCAATAAGTTTAAATGAAATGCAAGAAAAAATTCGTATAATTTAATATGCCAATTTAATATTCCAATACAAGGAAGTCATGTGGTGTACACATAAGATTTTTTATTATATGTTTACACTTTTATTTATTTTTTTTTTAAATATTTTGGGGGGGGCTTTAAATTTCCTTTTTTACTTTTATAGGTGTTTGTTTAAATTTAAATTTCATTCCATGCAGCAATGGCGCAAAGAATTATTTAATTAAATTGTATTTAAATTTAATTAATTTATTTGAATTAAAATTTATAATTATTTAAATTAAATTTATTTAATTAAATTCAATTTTTTCTTATGAAAAAAATTTTGTTTGTACTTAGCAGCTTTAGCGCTAATTACCTGGTTTGTTTCTCTTTTTATTATAAATTTTAAATTTAACTTTCTTATTCTAATAATTTTGTTTTCATTTTAATTAATTCTAATTTTAAACTCGCTCTTTAAATATTTTAGTTTAATTAATTTAAGTAGTTCAATACAATAATTCATTTTTTATTATATGTTTACACTTTTTTTTTCTTTAAATTTGCTTCTTTTAAATTTTGGCTTTAAATTTGCTTTTTTACTTTTATACGTGTTTGTTAAAATTTAAATATAGCTTGTTTAAATTTATATATATATATATGAATGTGATATTAGGAGAGATAATTTGAAGAACTTTCAAGACTGATATTTTGAGAGAAAATGAGCTTATAATTATTAATTATGAACATATATTATGAATAATGTATATTATTCATAATATACATTTAATTTCTTTCATAATGCATATTGCATTTCTTGTCTAATAATATAAATAAGTTGATATATATGTAATGATTTTTACATGCATAGAATGAAGGCACTGGAACTTTAACAGTTTACGATACTGTGTAGATGACCGAGACGATGGTAGTGGCGCTTGAAGGTGGCAGAGTGGAAAGCATGATGATGCAATTTAGCACAACATATCTTGAAAAATCGCAATCTTTATTATTTTACGTATATCAAGCCATCCTTTTGCAGATAAGATGGTTCCTAATTATATTTGAGTACAGAAAGTTCCAATTTGAAGTACGTCATCATCTTAAGCAAGTAAGCGGCAGTAGCATAGATTAAAATCGTCTTGCCAGCAGGAGAGCTTATGCGAAAAAGGGGAGAGTATCATAGAACTTAAGAGGAAGAAGGGAGGAGTTGGAAAAGTTTCAGTTCAGAATTTTTGTTTAAAATTAATTTCATTGGACAAGAGGCATCTGCATTAAAACGTTACGTAAGATAGAAAAGTCTGGAACCTATTAGAAGAGATGAATTTAGGGGCAGATCGCCTAATTTAGAATGTTAATTTTGAGGTCACCAATTATTTTTTTGAAACATCTATCATATTTTGTTATATCTTACATATATGTATATATATATGAGTGTGATATCAGGAGAGAAAATTTGAAGAACTTTCAAGACTTTTTGAAAGAAAACAAACTTGTAAACTTTTTGACTGTGAATGTACGAGGGCTATCCAGAAAGTAGATTACGTTTTGGAATAAAAAAATAAACAAAGTATAGGAAACAAATTTTATTATATACAGATGAAAGCCACACTCAAATACTACTTTTCTACATAGTCACCATACAAATTAAGGCATTTATCGTAGCGATGTACGAGCTTGGAAATTCCTTCGTCGAAAAATTCGGCCGCCTGCGCCTTCAAACCACTTCGTTACCTCTTCTTGCTTTTCGCTGATGATTTCGTGCAAACAAACTTCGCGAAATTTGTGGAAAACTCAAAGAAAGTTCCGTTATTGTGAAATTTCGATTTTCACGGACTTTAGCATCGACTTTTTCGAGAAGTTCGGCGGTCACTATGCTGGGTCTCCCACTTCGATCTTCGTCGTGAACATTGGTTCGGCCATTTTGAAATCTTATGACCCACTGACGCACTCCACCTTCAGTGATAATGTTGTCCCCATACACTTCACGAAGCTGCCGATAGATTTCTATCAGTTTACAGTTTTTTGCAGTCAGAAACCTTATTACTGAGCGCAGCTCGCGGGATTTTCAATTAACGCAGACATTTCAAACCGTCACAGTATCTGAACGGAGCACAGCACGAACCTCTCACTAGCACGGCTAGATGCAGACTGAGCTGCGCAACGCTCTGACCCCAAGATGGCCGCGCTAGCCCCGCCCCTAGCGGACACAGACGGAAACGTAATCTACTTCCTGGATGGCCCTCGTAGTTTAAATACACAATGTTTTGTTTTTGTAATACTTCGGAATTGCATTTTTATGTGTCATTTTTTATACAGTACAAAGTCCGTAATCTGGATGTCCATTATCCGGAATTATCTATAATCCAAACCTCAAAGCCACAATTTTTTTTTTTTTTAATGCTTTACGCATGCGCATAATGTGTTCACAAATACGCATTAATATGCGTTTATGCATGTGCATGCATGTTGGGAGGATGTATCTCCAGATACGTTAAAAAATGCTTGGCATGATTTATGGCCAGCTACCATATTTCATGGTGAGGACAATGAAGATGATAGCCACGAATTTGAAGGTTTTTGGACATCACAAACTAAAAGTGAAATTTTCCAGTTGTTGGATTTTGTAAAGAAATGTGGAGAAGCGGTAATAAATGAAGATGATATAAGTTTTTCATTGCGACAATCCCAATCATCAATAAATTAACGGACAGCGAAATACCGCTTCCGATAGTAAAGAAAGTAACAAAGAGGTTATTGAAAACGAAAAATATTTCGATTGACAAGTTAGCCGGTATTCTCGACACAGCAACTGCAGGATTTCAACAATGTAATTGAACAAGAAATTATGTCTGTTTCTAGAATTAAAGAGAAAGTATTAGCACAAAAAACGAAGGAACTTAAACAACTTACATTGAAAAAAAATGTTTAATAAAATAAACAAATAAATATTAAGCTTTTTTTTTTTTGTGTGTGTGTGTAAATTTTGATACCCTTTAGATCATAATTGCTCTTTATTTTATAACTTATCGTTTCATATTTTTAATTGTATAATTTCTGCATGCCATCCTACCAGATTTAAATTGATGATCTATAATCCGAAAAAACTCCTTATCCGCAATCATCGAAGTCACGACGAATCCGTATTATGGACTTTGTACTGTATTTTAAGGTATGAGATAGTTGATAAACAAAATGAGGAGGTCATAGTGAAGCCTATACTAGACGAATGTCGTTTTCTTTCTCGATAAAAAAAGCATATAGTGTATAAAATGTTTATCTTTGTTTTCTAATATTGTAGTGCTTTTTTCTAAAAATGCTTTTCTATCATCCAGCCTTTTTCTCTTTGAAGGAGAGATATGTAAGATATAAAATATGAAAACAAAATTCTAACTTTAATTTGACAGTAGTCTATTTTATTCCTAATTTTAATTTAGCTACTTCCCCATCCTATCCTAAAACTAATAACTATTTAGAATGTATGCATAAAGTGAATCACTACAAAATTAGTCTGCATCTAATTGCTGTCTATCATTCATTGTCTGAAAATGTTAGCTTCCAAAATTTGTAAGGTGCCTATTAAGCCCCTGACGATGTGTGAATGAGAAATATGTGTATCAAGAATTAGTTGTCAAGCAATAAATTAGGTTTTGTTTTTGGCCTCATCTATCCATGTTATCTATGTATCTGAGCAATAAAGCATCTCCCAATCCCTTACAGGTACTGACCTGTCATCAAGATATTACAGATATATTACATATATAGTTATTATTATACATTAAATATGTATGCATATCTCATGTTCCATTTCAGTGGAAATCCTTACATCAAATAATGACATAAATTACATTATCATAATTTAACTAATTAAAAACTGTTATAATGTAATCTTTTTTTGTTGTATGCTATTTATTTCTATTACTGGTAGTATGAATCCTAGGCTACAAAATTATCAGGTTACAAATGTTTTGTGAGATTTCATGATTTATCTCACAACTGTTTCATGAATTTTTTTCCCCTCCTCTCTGATAAAGTTTCCACCCTATTCAATAATTTTACATGTAAAAAATATTTTATCTCATTTAAATCTAATAATACTATTATAAATTTGTTTTTAGATATTTTGAGTATATTCAAGCTATAGTGTATGGAAATTTACAGCAAGCTCAACTTGGACCAAGACCTGGGCCATATTACATCATTCGTAGCTTTTTGAAAATGAAAATGCCTGTTCCTCCTGCTGGTCTTGAAGTAAGCATCTTTGGACTGATTTAAAATGAAAGAGAATGTTTGTTAAATATAGTGCATATTTTATGCATTTAAAAAGCCGTTTTTTAAATGCATTTAAATTTAACCATGCATTTATATTTGTATTATTATTTATTTTCCATTTTTCAGAATTTTTTCTTAAATCCTTGTTAACTTTTCTGTTATTTTAAGCAAATCTTGTGCTTCATTTTATTTCACTCATGCCCCAATTTGGAAAGACCAACTTTTTTTTTAAATTCAACAAACTAGGTAACCAAAAACGTTTTTGCTGTTTTGGGAAAATCTCATAAAACAAATAATAATGAACACTCATCCTCAAAGTAATCACCATTGGCATCCAGTGTTTTTTTTTTTGCCAATGAGTGGCTAGCTGTGCAATGACTTCGCATTGAAACTTGGTGAGTCTTGGATGCAAAGAAATCTGTAAGGGCCTTTTCTAGGTCTGTCCAGTTGTTAAAAGATTTCCCATGAAGATAGTTGTCCAGGGAATGGAAAAGCTGGTAGTCTGTTGGCACGAGGTCTGTGGTGTATGGAGTAGTGTCACACAGCCCAGTCAGTGGATAGTGTCCCGAGGCACATGCAGTCTCGCATTATCATGGAGGATGAGTACACCCTTACAATTGACCAATGCTGGCTCTTTATGCATCAGAGCCTGATGCACACATTCCAACTGCTGAAAGTACAGACCTGCCGTGTTGGATTGGGCCAGCAGAAAGATCTCATAGTGCACCACTTGGCGACTAGTCCACGAGATACAGAGTATGATTTTGCACGGGTGGAGAGGTCTTGCAGTGTGAGGCACAGACTCCAGTGGTGACACCCAGTGTCTGGAACGCCTGAGTATGTCATATTGGACCTACTTTTCATCGCTGGTGAGTGCTCGATCAAATATGGAGGCATTGCAGTGCCGAGTAAGCAACGACAAACGGGCAGTGACACAGTGTTGCTTGTTTGCATCGGACAGTGAGTGGGGTACCTACTTGCTCAGCTTGTATGCCTTTCCTATGTGGTGCAAATGGAGTCTGATCATTTCACCAGATACCTGGAAGTGTGTAACAAGCTTTCCACATGTTTGGTTACTGTCACTCTCTATGGCTGCTCTCAGGGTCTCATCGTCCAATGCCTGTGGCCGACCACTACGTAGTGCATCAATTAAGAGACATATCCTCTGACCTAAACTTCTGAAACCATTGCCTAGTAGTGCATTCATTAGCAGCAGCATCCTCAAAGGCCTGGAAAATTCAGCAACTTCATTCTGTTGCTGACAGGCCCACTTTAAAATCATACAGCAAACAACTCCGAATGAGCATCTTTGACGTGTCCATTTCAAACAGTCGCTGTATGAGATATGCTTGAAGTACTGATGCAACATGCTTTTATACTCTTTGTCAATCTCCGCATTCCCATCCTAACCACTTCGTCGCCAGGTTTGGTGACTATTTTTATTTTGGGGTTCACTCTTCTAATGTCATATCAGAAACGGCAAACACTTTTTTGGTTACCTTCATTTGTATGCATTAAAGAATAATTTTCTTTGATAATATTGACAAATGAATACTTTTAAATAATTCTATTGTATTTTGTGGCAAATCTAAAAGTGAAAGCGAGTTATTAGTATATTTAAGACACAATAACACGCCGAACAAATACTAATTCAAAAGTAAAACAACAAAAATCAGCGTTATATTTTCAAATTTTCACAGGACTAGTTTCGATGGTTTTACCGAACCACCATCCTCAGCTGCAAAAGTGCAAATGAATGAGATAAGATATAATGATAAGATAAGATAAGAAAGCCTGGACAGAAAATAAGCTAGTGGTGCCATCTGTTGATGAAACCAGAACTAAAACATAATTTCTTTAAAGGCCAAAGGCAAAGATGGATTGGAATTAGGATCGTTAACTAGAACAGAAACATTTTTTGAATGTGAAGTGCCTCTAGAAAATCCAGTTCTCCAATGGAAGATGTTTTTGAATAATTTGGGCAGCAGAAAAATTGAAAGTGGGATTTTTGGACCAACAATGTTGGGCAACAGAAGACTTCTGTGTTTCCTCTTTTCTAACATATGCCTCATGTTCCTTGACGTGAAATTTTAAGGCTCTTTTAGTTTGGCCAATGTAAATTACACCACACTGGCAAGGAATTCATATCCGGAATGGGGTCCTTGAGTATGGAACTCAGAATTTTATTGATGGGAGAATAAACGACCCGAAAGTTAAATTTCTGCAAAATATATGCAACTTTAAGCTAATTGATGGAAAGAAGAGAATGACAACAGAATTTTTATAATCTCCTAAAACAAGAGTATTCTAGATTTTCAACTATATTAGACAATAACATTTACACCATAAAAAATTCAATAGAGTGTGTAAAAAAGTTTAAAAACATTTCTCCTAGAAATTTACTCATGGTTTCTTTTGATGTAAAATCATTATTCACCTATGTTCCAGTGGAGGATGCATTAAGATGTCTAGAAACCAGACTTCGCGAATTTCATTTCTCTTGCATCGAAATTCATGAGCTAATTTCTCTCACTCAACTCTGTTTGAAACAAACACATTTTGTTTTCCAAAATAAATATTACAAGCAAACTGAGGAATTAGCCATGGAAAGCTCCCCCAGTCTCATCCTGGTTGATATCTACATGCATTATTATGAATCAAAATTGTTCGAAACTTTAAACTTTCTGGTATGGTTCTGCTAAGTAGACGATACACCTTATTTGAAGGTAATAAAGATGATTTATATAAAGTTTTCTTAAACAGTGAATTCTGTTGATTCTGCTATTCAGTTCACTTTTGAACTTGAGACTTGCAGTTCTCTTCCGTTTCTCGACATTCTGGTCACAGTAACACGTCCAACTTCAGTACTACGGTTTACCGTAAACCTTCATCGGTTTGCCTTCCACCACACTTTAAATCATGTCATCCGAATGCACAAAAGTTAGCTTTATTTTATTCCCATGTTTTCCGTGCTCTTTCAAGTTTGCTCCACCAAACTATCCTTTGATGAAGAACTAAATTATTTAAAAGCAATAGCTATTGACAGGGGCTTTTCACCCAACATTATTAATCGAGCAGTTAAAAAAATTTCATCTCAACACACTAAAAGGCACACTCTTGTATTAGGAGATTATAAAAATTCTGTTGTCATTCACTTCTTTCCATCAATTAGCTATAAAGTTGCACATATTTTGCAGAAATTTGTGAGAGTAAATTAAAAATGTACAACACAAAATACGAGTCATTTGAAGCTAGCTGAAATACAAGCTTCCTACGGAGCTACAATTTAATTTATCCTAGTAGATGTTCAAGCTGTTATTAACATAATTGAAAGCAAAGCATTCATCCTCTGTAAGACTACCTACTATGTGTGATTTCAAGCTATTTTATTGATTTTCTATATTTTATTCTTCTGTGGAAGTGGTTATCTTTTGCGAAGGATGATCTGTATTGGTATTTACTAATATTTAGGGGATAGCCATGGTAAAGGTTCATTATACTTGTAAGAGGTATAAGAAAGATGAATTTACTATTAAATACAAAATTATTTGATGTGAGTTTTATGTCAGAAAAGTAAGTGTAGATAAATACAACAGTATTACAAGATTGACCAGTTACAGCTGTAATGCATGCTGTTAGAACAGTAAATATTTTCTCATGTGGACACTGGGACACTAGGATTTCTGAATGCATAAGTTACTCAGCATACATTTAAGGTAATCTCAATGTCATGAAAACATTCATAAAAAAAAGTATATCAGAAAGTCACCTGCAGATGAACCCGCCCTTCGAAAAATTTATATAATGCCTACCTACAGCAAAACGATATTTTTATTAAGCCATTTGAAAAGAATCATCCAGTGTTCTTTATACTTGATGGAACTTCAGTTTAAAAAAAAAAAAAAAAAAAGTATAAAATATATTTATTTTTCTGTTGACTGGCGATTCTATAAAATCTGTCCCTTCAGAATTATATAGAAGAACCATAAAATTAAAAGTATTCTTTATTATTTCTTTAAGAAAAAGGAAGCATTTACATAAAGTTTTTTTTTCTCCCCTGAATCACTACTACGGGAAATTAAAATTCAACTCAAAACCAAAAGATGATATTTTCTGAATTTAAAACTATATTACAGTTAGTTCCCATTTTGTTAATTGCTTATGATTGAAGCATTATCATCACAATGTAATTATGTTATCTTTGGGAGCATTTATTTTTGTTATTCCATCAATTGGAAATTGTAAGAAACTTTTATCATCTTTATTGTAATTTTTGTTTCATTTTATTTATTTATTTATTTATTTTTTTACTTCCTTGTACGAAGTAAAAAGGAAGTATTGTACGCGAAAAGTTTAGGCAGCATATTTCAACGAAAATATCCATTTTGACCGCTTTCGAATACAATTTGACGATGTATTTGCGTGATATCTATACGTAAGGACAGAATAAAATACTCTTTTCCATCAAAAAAATTATAAAACTGCTTTAAAATTAATTCTGAAGAGAATTTTTCATGGTGTCTGTACGAACGTATGTACGTACGTATCTCGCATAACTCAAAAACGAGTAGCCTCAGAAGGTAGAAATTTTGTATATAGGGCTGCTATAACATGTAGATGTGCACCTCGTATTTTGGTTGCAATCGGCCGCACCAAACGTATATAAATATATTTATATATATATCCACTCTGTTACACGGCTCAGTGATCTCAGTTTCTTTACTCGTATGTGTTTGTAAATTGTACATTTTTTCTTTAAAAATGATTGAATTATGTTTTTCTTATCTTCCGGTTAAGGTTTTTATGCCTTTAGTAAATTTTTATGCAATATTTTTAGAATTATCAACAATTTTAAAGTTGTATAAGTGTCGCTAAGCCTAATAATTTTCTTGATGGCAGCCATTGCTTGTTTACATTTGAAACAGCAGAGTAGTGGATATGTTGCAAATGTAGAGAAACGTAACTTTGCAACAGCAAAA